ACTCCCTCTCTCCAAATCTGCCTTTGGAGAGTGGCCTGATGAATAGTAATCCAGGTAAAACAATACATGCTCTGATCCTCTTAGCTTCATATTCATGCAGAGCTCACTTTCGAGCTAATTAGAAAGGCCATGTTAAAAACAGGAAATGAGGAAGCAAGGATAACCTTAAGGTTTTAGATCGGTGCATTAGCTTCTACAGTTAGTAAATTTGGGGTATGTGCTTAGAGCATTTTGGTGCAAAGTTACCAGTGTTAATAAATCACTACTATTTAGACAGTTTCACTGCCACGATCCAAATCATTTGGTCTTCAGAAGAGAGACTGTTAGTTCACGGAAGAAAAAAAAAACTAAACTAAAAACTAAATATAAGGTAAATATCCATTATTGGGAGAATAGATGAAATAAATTCTTGTACAATGACAACATGGAATACTGCTCGTTGTAACAATGAATTAGAGATATTTACATGAAATAGTCTTCAATAAGAAAAACATTGCATAGAAAATTATATATAATAAACATTATCTTACTTTTTGAAAAACAATGACAAAATCACCTGTACATGTACATTATTTTATATACATGTATATGTATGTATGTTCATATATAGTAGTATGAGCATGGAGGAAACTATAAAATCATATACATTAGGTTATTAACATTGGGTTACCTGTAAGGATAGAGTAATATGATGCAAAAGGAAGCAGAAGAAATAAAGCAATTTACACAAAAAAAGAGAAAAAAGACTTCATTTACAATTAATATATATAATATAATCATGTGTATACATCATAAAAAGAAGAAAAATCAACTCCCAATGTTGGAGGAAATATAAAATATTGGAAGATAAGATCTCCCAAAACTGTTTCTCCATGAAAGCAGGAAAAACACTGGAAAAATTATCAAAATCAAATCTTTCACAAATTCAGGATTTAACCAAAAGCTTGCATTTTTCATTAGTCAAGGAAAATGTCTGTATCACAGTAAGAACTGTGATCTTCGTAGCATTTTAACATGCACTATTACCTTCACCCTCTCCTCAGTTCTACAATAGCCTTAAAAAACCAATGGCCTTGCAACCAGGGTGACTATGAAAACTAACAACTTAGGAGGCAATGGAAAGGGAAGAATGGGTTTGAAGCTCCCCTAAAAGCTGTCCCCAGATAATTGTCACCACTCAATCTATCTGGAAGCTCCTGGAAAGGATCCATCCTCAGGGCTGGGCTTTATCTGACCTGATTCGGAGCTTCCTGAGTCTATACAAACAGCTCCATCCCCAGGGTGCTTGTCGAACACAATCTGCGGCAATTGTTTAACGTCATAACCACCCAAGACAAGAATATCTTGTCTTGTTCTTGTCTTGGGTGGTTATGACGTTAAACAATTGATGTTGTTGGAAATAAGAGTCTGACAAAAACCTTAAAAGGAAAAACTTGGAAATGAGATGTTCAAAGGGGCCTTTGGAAAGCTCTGATGTATGTCTTGGGATCTTAGAAGGCCAGGTACATGTGCAAGGCTCTGTCCATATCCAAGAAAGATACTAGAGGTCAGTCACAAAAGCCACACATTTATTGTATGATGCCCTTTATATGAAATTCATCTCATTTCAGAAAAGTCAAATCCATAGAGACAAAAAATAGATTAGTTTTAGACCCAAGCTGGGGGAAAGAAAAAATAAGGAATAATGAATATGGCATTTCTTTCTTCAGTGATAAAACTGTTCTAATATTAAATATCAGTGATGGCTGTACAACTCTGTGAGTATATATTTAAAATACTTAATAGTACATGTTAAGAGAGTGAATTTTATGGCATGTTGACTTTATTTCAAAAAAGCATTTTTTAAGTAAATGAGAGGTACAATGTGTTTTCATCTGATATAGGAGATTTAGGAGCTGGTTACCAAAAACAGAACACTTCAAGCTTTCAGTACCTTAATCCACTCTTGTTACTTTAATTTTTGATCCATTTCTAGGTTATTCTATTGTGTGCCATATTATATTTAACCCAAAAGCTCTAGGTTGGCCAAAGAGTTTTTCTCTTTCCTTAAAACTCAATTTATGTTTAAATATTTATAAAATATGTAAGGAATAAAAGTGAAAGTAAAAACCCAAATACAGAAAGCAACCTAGAAAAATCCCTTGCTGAAAGCTAACTACGGACATGTTTCTTTTGCACGTTACAACTGGTTTTCAAAATGCATTAATGAAACTCCAGAAATAACAGGTGTCACATAAAGCCTGGTTCACATTTACAAAGCCCAGCTCTGCTGCACAATGTAGTGTGGGGAGGTGCTCTGGTTAAAAGTTTACGAACTGTAGTATCCTCAACTTTGGCATGATATTAAGGACCCCCTGGAGGAAATGTCTTAAGGAAAGTCTATTTCCTGGTACCATTTGCCAGGAGTTCTCCCCTTGGTTTTTTTATCCAGGATATTTGGGTAGGACGGAATGTCTGGCTACTGTATTTTTGGACTGAAGTGGACTTAAATAGCTTTTACATATGCCTGGAATTTAAAATGATGTTTTCATTAGAGAATAATTGAAAACAGAAAAAAGACAAATTCTCCGCCAGGTGTTAGTATGGATAACAAGGCATTAAATGATGCTTTAAATAAAATTGGTTAAATAAATATCAAGTGCAGAAGTGTGATTAGGCATTACTAGTAAAAGTGATAAATAAGATACTAAAATTTTGAAATGACTGCAGTTTATTTATTTATTTATTCGACAATTATTTCACTGATCATGGGATACAGAGTAGTAAACAAAACAGACTACTCTTCTACCCTCTCAGAGCTTAAAATTTGCTCAGTAATGATCCTGCTACTGCAAAAAAAAAAAAAAAAAAAACAAAAACACACACAATAAAATTGAATAAGGAAGCATGAAATACTTGAAAGAGTACTGGTCTAGGAGTCCCAAGATCTGCATCTCAATTCCACGTCTACTGATTACTAAAGAAGTGATATTGCATATGTCAACTTAATTTCCCTAAGACTCAGTTTTATATCTTGAAAAATGAAATATATGGCCTGTGCTGTGTACCTCATCAGTTAATTATAAGAATGAAAGAGAGAATACTCAAACATGCTCTGAAAACTACCAAAAGGTCTTTAATAACAGGCTAGCAATATTACTGAAAAGTATGAAAATCTATCAAATCCCTTGCAATAAACAATTTTAGTTAATATAGACAGCCTATTGAGTGTCTGTATAGTCAATAAAGCTCAGTGCTAACAGTCAAGCACATGAACAACATCAAATGACACATACTCAAAAGTTTCAGCCTTTCTCTATTTAATCATTCTAATTTCACCTGGATTTCCTTTACATGTCCAATTACATTCATATTCTCAAACAATATTCCAGCCACAGAAATAAAAAATGAGTCAAACAGACTTCCATTCCATTAACTTCTAAAGTGAGCAAGAAGCACCATATGTTTCTTTACTCTTCAGAGTATGTGTTTGTCACCTCCGCTTGAATCTTAACAATAATGGAACTTCCAAAACCGAGACACATCCACTTAGTAAAAAAAAATAACAATGGCTGTAATTGCAACCACATTAACTGGACTGGCTTTCTACTTAAATTACTTTTGCACTTCTGATGGAAAAATACTGTCCTTAAGAATAATGAACTGCTGAAGGCATGACTAAAATATTAAAAACCTCACATTTAAACTCAGGAAGAAAATAAATTTGACTTGGCACAATTCAGGTCTGCAGTGTTACTGTCGGGTAATGAACACAAACCCGTATGAATCACTGGTGAACACCAAGCCCAAGACACAACTAATACCTCTCGGTGCTGCGTGAAACAGTGGAATCCAAACCGTCTGTCTCTTTGGGGCTAGAGAAACAATAATCCTGCTTTTCTTCACACACTGGCAAACATGCACTGTGATAGCTGACAGTCAGCTTAATCCTTCCCTTCCTGGCTCAGAATGAAAATAAATACTCTGCCCTGTACCTCAGAATTGATTCACCTTTGTGGGTTCGCATGAAGAGAGAGACACAAACAAGAAAATGATCGTGGATGGTATGACTTGGTATAGTTTTCAGTCACATAACTTTGTTTTAGGAAGTAGAAAAGAAGGATCAAGACAATGACAGAGAAAGTTCTGACTATGTTTTACCAGTTCTGAATTTGTTTTATCAGTGCTAACTCGGAGCTGAAGGTATCTGGCACTTTCCACACAAATCCACTCCCATCAACGCTCTGGAAGTTTAGTAATTTTACTAAAAAATCTGAGGGGTATTGAGGAATATTCACTCTCCAGAGCATATTGTCTGCTACCATCTAACTGACCCAGCCTCCACGCTTTCTGTCTTCTCTCTCTCCCAGCTCTTTTACGGGGATAAATGACAGATCTCTCCACTTGTCCTCAAGCAGAAGTTTCACACATGCCATTTACCTCAGGGTGTGAGGACTTGTCAGTCACCAACATGTGAAATAGATTGCACGGCCAATAAAAGAGGGAGGAGAGTGAAGGAAGGGAATATGAACGCATGGACATGTCAAAAGCAAATGGAGGGGAGGGTAGCTCCTGTTAAGTCACTTGGCATTCTATTTTAGAACTGGGACCCCTTCTACAAGGCATCAATCACAAAATAGGTAACTTAATTTACATATTAATTTAACCATCTCAAAATAAGCAACTTAAAACTTCAAAACAGAAACAAAAACTTTTAGAGGTGAAGCACCACAAAATCAGTACCATGACATTGGGGCAAATGGCAACATTTGTTTGCCTTAGAACTGTTGAATGGCACTGATACATCTTCATGACTGACTCAGGTCTCTACTTGGATGGCTGAGCTGAGGGCATTTCATGTTTAGGGCGCTCTGTGAGGCTTGCAGGAGAAGTGAGTGGAGCTTTGCCCATATGGCCAGTAAGTGACTGTGAATTAAAAGCATCTGTTGCCACACTTAAAAATCTACCTATGGGTCCCACAGACATTCAAGGGCACATGCATCCAGCACCTTCAGCCTTACTTTTGTTCCTGTGACCTTGGTCCCCTGGGAGAGAAGCATCTGTGGTCCAAGCTGGAATGTGTTGGTCGGTGTGTGTAGTAGATGTCACAGTGCTCTCGTGGTAAATTGTATTTGCAAAGATAACATCAGGGACTTGAACTTCACCATCAGTGGCCATAGGTTCACTCCCATTTGGTTTAAAATAGGCTTTTTGTAATGTTCCTGAAAGACAAAATATATATATATATATAAAAAATTTAAACTTACTATAAGTATTCATTTTTTAAAAGCATATTTAAAAAACTCTAGAGCTACTTTCTCAAGCCTCATTCTTTCCAGGCAAACACGAAGAGGAAGACGATGTCTAGCACAACTAACCAGCAGAGCTTTGCTTCTACTGCAGGTCACCCAACCCTCTGAAGAAGCGACTGCCTTCTCATCGAAGTTTTCAGTGCTCAAAGACTATAGGGCTATTCCACCTCACCTGAGACTCATCACAATTTCAAAAAATGTGGCAAAGCTCACAGTTTCCTGCCTGCCTTCTCTTTCATTTGATGCGACTCAGCACCCGGGACATATGCTCTCCACATCTCTCCCTGCCACCAAAGGACAGAATTGTGTGTCCTTAGCTTCATCTTTATGTTTCTTCACATTTTGCACTAAATTTCAGTGAATTGGCCATAACACAAAAATAAAAATATGTCTCATATGTTTACTAATACTTATATCATAGAAAAAATATTTTTAAAAAGTGGAACTCTAACCCCAACAAAAAAGAATAAATTAAATTGTTGTCATTTTTAACAAGAAGGTATAAAATATACTTACAAGAAATAAGAAATAATGACTAAACTAAGATGATCAACCGGCCACTTTCTCAAGGTTTTCATTCACTGACAAAATAAAGAGTCAAACCTGACTATTGAGAACCACCCAGCTTTGACTTTAGGCAGAAACTTCTGAAAATTTTGAAAGAGATAATGTATTTTTAACTCAGTCAAAACAGACAACAGGCTGTTTCCAGAATATAGCACTATAGTTGAGTATGCTTTCTAAAATAAATGAATGTGATATTGATCCATTATAGAAATACCCAAGGGAGATTTTTTTTCTAAAAGCATTTACAGTGAATGCTCTCATTGGTTCTCTTTTTTCCAAACAGTCCATGGACTATTAAAAATAAAAGAAATATAAATAAAATGTTGAATATCAGTCTATGGAAAAAATTTCTCTCCATGTGCTTGACACTTGGAAAACATTAACTACAAATCAAAATAGAAAAGCAGCTGTTTTCTAGCTAACTTAGGTCAACAGTTTCATTTTCCAAAGGATTCTAAATAAAACATTGGAGCGTAAAAGCTAAGTCATGACCATGCAGTGCAGGTAACACGCTCTCCAAACTGTCAGTGTGATTATGAGTAAATATCAGGCTGTAGGGGAAATGAGAGACCTCATTTAATAGCTTTTAAAAATGATTTAGAATTTACTATGGATCTAAATAAATATGAGATAGACTAGCTTACTCTATAACATGCATTTTATTCATACAGAAATGTTTACTAATAAATTAGATATGTTATTTACATCCATTTGCTAGTTGATCTCTACTTGTTTGGGCATAAAGGGATTTTTTCCCATAACATGTTGCTTCCACCAATGTGGCTGTAATGAATATACAAGGCACATAAAGTTCATTTACTTGTCATTCTCTATGAATCAGCACCCAGCTCTGTCAACATACTTCTAGCAAATGCCAATTCCTCATAGTTATGTCCCTGAGTAATTCACTTAAAAGGAGATCCTTACTGTATAAAATATCTACAGTTGTTCTTAATATTTTGTTTGTAATGATTAGCCTTATTAATAATCTTTCCTTTATCTTTTTTACCTAACCACCGTGGTGAGTGGTAATGATATGTGATTATTCTCAGAAGTCCTTTGAAACACCAACTTTCTTAGGGAACACTGACTCTCAAGAAAATAAAGTCAGTTTTCTTACTCTTAAAGTCTACATATAAAGCAGCTTGGCAGAATAGAAAGAGAATATCTGATATATGGTAGTTAATATAGCCAATGTTCCTAAAGTATATTTTTGAGAGAGAGAGAGAGAGAAAGAGAGAGAGGAGTAAGAAAGACAGACAGAGACACAGAACAAGCTGTTTTTAAAAGCCTGGACTGACTAGACAATTTTTTTTTTCAAGTATCTCTGGAAACTGACCAACCCACAACTCACAGTTAGTCACTTTTTATGCATTTTTTAAAGAGCATAAAAATTAGAACTCAGTAAGCCTAAATACTCTCAAGCTATACCATGATGAGTTATAAAAGTGCTGAGTTATTAGCCCAAAGTACAGCGTTCATTCTTCCATGTCCTTATTTTTGCAGCTCTGTGGTGAAAGGTACAGATTCTACCATCTGCCCCCCTGGGCTTAAATCCCATCTCTAGCACTTATTATCCTGAAACCTTGTGCAAACTCTCAACTGACATAAAATAAAAAAATAAAAGTACTTCCCTTCATGGGGCTGGTCATTAGAGTCAAATTGGTCCGTATAGGAATATTTGAAATGGTTCCTGGCACACAGTAAGTTCTTGATAACTATTAGTCATTGCTACACAAATTGTCTCCCTTAGGGCTACTAAAGTACTTTTAAATAAATACCAATTTCATTTTACCAACAAAGCAAAATGACTAAGAAAATTTTCAAAAGTAAACCACTTGACTCACTTTTGAAGTGAAATAATGGTGGCTCTTTCATGCTAAATTATGAATAGAAGACCACATTATATCGAGGTTTTATGGCTCAGATGTGTTTCAGCTCTATTTCACAGTGTTTAAGAAATTGCCCACAGTTCCAGTAACAATAGCCACACTTTCCTGATCACTACAATGAGTGGACTGACCACTGCCACTGGCAACAAAATGCTGTCCCAGAGACGTCCTCATCCCAAGCCTCGGGACCTGTGAATATGTTACCTCACATACCTTCCGTGGCAAAAGGAATGTTGCAGATGTAATTGAAGGAATTTGAGATAGAGAACTTATTCTGGATTATTCAGTCAAGCCCAGGGTCCTTATAAGCAGAAGAGGGAAGTGAGAGAGTGGGTGCCCGAGCCATTTAGTGTGAGAAAGGTTCAATGGGCCCTTGCTCGTACTGAAGTTAGGAAGGAGCCACGCGCCACGGTATGTAACAAGCCTCTAGAAGCTGGAAAAAATAGAAAACAGTGTCTCCTGGAGCCCCAGAAGGAACACAATACAGCCAACATGTTAATTTTAGCTCAATGAGACGTATCTTGGACTTTTGACTTCCATAATTCTAAGGGAATATACTTGTGTTATTTCAAGCTACTAAGTTTGTGATGATTTGTCACAGCAGCAACGGGACACAAACACCTTCCTAAGTATCCTCACTGTAAGCTTCTATTGAGTTAGCTTCCCAAGAATCTTGTGAAACAAATGCTGTAATTAACTCTTCTTCACAGGTTTTCAGAGAAAGGGAAACTGCAAATTATAAGAGTTATTTAACTTACACAAGAATTGAGTTCAGGCATGATACATACACATGCACATATACCCACAGACACTTCTCATTTTGGACAAGGTACACAGGTTGAAAAAATCAACCACCAGCCATGAACGGTGTGGCTCAGCTGGTTGAGCATTATCCCACAAAGTGAAAGGCTGCCAGTTCAATCCTCAGTCAGGGCACATGCCTGGGTTGTGGGCCAGTCCCTGATTGAGGTGCATGTGGGAGGCAACCGATCAATTGTTCTCTCTCACATTGACGTTTCTCTCCTTCTCTTTCTCACTCTTTTCTCCTCTCTCTAAAAAAATAAATATTTTTAAAAATCAACCACCATATGCATGTAAACAAATTTATCTTCCTGTGATATGGATTTGAAATTAATTCCTATCTTTATATGTCTAGCCATGTGGTAACACATTTACTTTGCATTTTCTATGTGCCAGGAACTTTGTATTTACTCCCTGCTGAGAACACAAAATCTAGTGAGAGGTATTCATCATCAGATGTTTAGAGATTAATTGAGGGAGACAACCATGTAGTCTAAAAATACCAACCATGCTACAAGTGCTTTGGGAATGATATGCATAGGGCAATCTGGTGACAAAAAAAATAGAGAAGTAGCTGGCATTTCATTTGGAAAAGTCAGGAAATTTTTCTTAGGGGAGAATGATCCTCAATGTGAATCTTAAAACATGACTAGAGATTTTCTAAGCCTGAGCAAAGCATTTTTGGAGAAGGGAGAAGTGAGGTAGAGTAATAAGAGAATAGAGAAATTTCTAGATAGATAAAAGTAGACAAGATATGCAAAAATTGAGCAGCAAGTAATTAAGCATAGCCAGCATGCAGGGCACTAGCAGGAGAAAAGGGAGACAGGGTGGACGCCTGACTTAGAAGGGCAGCTCCTGTTAAAAGTTTGGAATTGATCTTGTAGAGATGGCAAACTTTTGAAGGATTTCAAGTAGGGTGGAACACTAGAAGGGTCGCTCTCAAGTCTAGAGGATAGTTAGAAGGCTACTCCAACAGTCCAGGAGTAGAGGGAGAAGAGTAAGGCTTGACCCAAGGCAAAAGCAGTGAGGATAAAGGGAACAACTGGGAGAAAGCTTTCCAAGACAAAACCATGAGAACTTGAAGAGTCAGAGGTCCCTTCAAGATTGCAGGTTTGAATTACTGGGTAAATGAAGGTGCCCCCCAAATAAGATAGAGGTGGTAGTCATTAGTGTTCTTCATCAAATATTTTTAATTCCCTCCCATTCTACTAGGACATATGCCTGGGTTACATTCTCTGGCCTCATTCTCTTGTCTCTTAACATCTTTGATGTTAGTCAAAGGACACAAACAGCCAGTTATAAGATGAGTAAGTTTTGGGGACCTAATGTACAGCATGGTAACTATAGTTAATAATAATAATAATAATACACTTTTTTTAAAAAGACCCTCCATTGCTCCTTTTCTCTTTCTCCGGCACAATAACCACAAAGGTTCATCATCAATTTACTTCCTGGATGATCTCAATGAGCAGATCACATCCTCCTCCACCCCACCACCATCTTGCAAAGGACATGTAACATGAGTGCGAAATTGACCTTTCTTGTACTTAAATGACTAGGATTTGGGGATTATTTTTTTGTTACACAGTATAGCATAGTCTATCCTGACTGATAAACAGATAATAGAGAATGAAAAATAGAATTTATAGG